CAGAGGGTGGTGATCAGAGCAAGAAGCTGCTGCCATAGATGGGGAACTATCTATGGATTGACGAAGGTGAACTAGTTATTTGTACAGGACACCTCACATTTTGAATCTGGAAAATAGCCCATCTCCCATCCCCCTCAGCTATCTGGGCCAAGGTCTTAGCTGACAGGTGTATTTTTCCCTGGCCAGTATCTGGCACAGATGTGTCCTGGCTCTGGGGTGGGAGGAGGCAGATAAGATGAGTGAGAAGTCAAAGTAAGTGTGTGTGTGGTGGTGTGTGTGTATGTGTGGAGTGTGTGTGTGTGCGTGCGTGCGTGCGTGCACGTATGTGTATCCTGAGTGGTCTCTTCTGTCTGCACATGTTCTCAGTCATAATTTTACATGTATGTGAACTCCATATGTCTTTTCTTTAATTCTTTGTTTGTTTGTTTTTGGATCACTCCTGGAAGTGTTTAGGGCTTACACCTGGCTCTGCACACAGGGATCACTCTGGGGTGATAGAAATTGAACCAGGCTTGGCTGCATGTAAGGCAAGTGCCTTAACACCCGTATTAACCCTGTCACTGAAACACCTGAGTTGGACAGACAGATCTAGAAAACCCTGCTGGAATTGGTTACATATGAAGACATAAACGGGCTGAGAGATAGTGCAGTGGGTAGTCTTCCTCTTGCCTTGCACATGGTCAGCTCAGGTGCAATCCCTGACACCCCATATGGTCCCCTAAGCTTTCTCTGAGCACAGAGGCAAGCGTAAGCCCTAAAACAAGCAAAAATATTGTATTTTGTGCTCTGTATTCAGCTCTGAATCTGCATCAGTGCATGTGTTGGTTCTCTCTAGTGCACCTGTGAACCTGTGTGAGAGCCCTGTCTGGGATTTGAGACTCTGTAAGAGTGTCTGTAAGGGGCCAGATCAGTAACAGTACAGAAGGTAGGGCATTTACCTTGCATGAAGCTGACCCGGGTTCAATCCTCAGCATCCCATATGATTCCCAGTGCACTGCCAGTTCAGAACCAGGAGCAAGGCTTGAGCATTGCTGGGTATAGCCCAAAACAACCCCCAAAAGTGTCTGCACACCAGGGCCAGGTACAACGGGTAGGGCACTTGCCTTGCATGTGATCCACCCGGGTTCAATCCCTGGCATCCCATTATGGTCCCTTGACACCCTCCAGGAATGATTCCTGAGTGCAGAAACAGGAGTATGTCCTGGTATGGCCCCCCAAAGCAAAACATGGCCCCAAAGTGCAAAACAAAAGTATCTGTGAACTAGCCAGTAGCCTACCAAGCTAGGGGTGGGGGATGGGGGAATGGATCTGTGTTCAGGCTGCCGGGTCCCTTATGATACCTGGGAGCTGGAGAAATGCTGCAGCTGCGAATGTGTGACTATGCTCGGGCCTGGGAACGCCATGTGCGGTCTCTGCGTGTTCCCATCCATCAGCCTGTATTCTCTGTGTGTGGCTGTGGGGCTGTGTCTGAGTGTGTTTGTACCTCTGTGGGTGATGGTGAGTCTGCCCCCCATCTCCGAGCCCCTGGATGGGGCTGCACTCCTTGCCTCTGCAGGAGTCTCTCTCCTGCTGGGGGGAAGTAAACACACCCTCTCCAGCCCTCCTCCAGCTGCGGCTGGGGTGGGGGGCATCGAGCCTTGCTTTGAAGGCCCAGCCAGCCCCTGGCCTTTCCGGGAATTTTGTGCTCCCTGTGGGAGGTGGGCAGGCCTGGAGAGGCCCTCCTGTCCCCCGGGCCTCAAGCAGCCCGCTCAAGTTGGGTCTAGACCCCATGTCCACAGTGCCTGACTCCCTGCAGGGAACATATGACTTGCTTGGGAAGGGTCACAGGCCGTGATAGAAATGAATAAACAGACAGACACCCCCCAACCCGAGAAGGGAAACAGTGAGGATCCTTGGGCAGGGCATGGTTGGGGTCCAGAATTTCAGGGTGCTTTTCATTTGCAGGGTGTGTGTCTGTACTCATCTGGCCAAAAATGCCCTACTTGACACCTCTGGTGCCTCCCCCAAGATCTAGGGTCCTTTCTCAGATAAGCAATCTGTCTGAGGTCACCCTCTTGCGCCCTGGCTGTTTCTTGTTTCTATCTCAGCACCTGTTCCACTTTTTTTGGGGGGGGGGGGTGCAGTTAGTCACTCGTAGTGGTGTTCAGGGCTTACTCCTGGTTCTGTGTTCAAGAATCACTTCTGGTGGGACTTGGGGGAATCATATGGGTGTAGAGGATTGAACTGTATGCAAGTCAAGTGCCCTACATGCCATACTTTTTCTCCTATTCTTGTTCCACTATTTCTGAATCTCCCAAACAGTGCTCAGGGAGCCCCATGGCCCCAGCAATTCTTGGCCAAGCAGGTGGACAGTTTAAGGCTCAGGCCCAGTGGTGAGTTTTAGGGCCACTTTGGCAGTCCTGGGGGGGGGGTGCTTATGCAAGTGCCAGGGATCAAACTGGAAATGTAGCATCTACAAGGTAAGTGCTGTAGCTCTTGCAGCCATCTCTCTAGTCCAAATGCCACCTCTTTTCCTGGATCAACCTTATCTGCTCTTTTATGGAGTGGGGGCACAGCGGGCAAAACTCAGGGATCTGTACTTGGAATCATTCCTAAAAGTGCTCAGGGGGACCATACAGGATGGTTGCATTCAAGGCAATAGGACCTGCTGTCCTCCCATCTCTCTGCCCCCCCCCACCCCCACTATGTGCCTTTATGCTTAAAGCTAACTTTTCCTGTGGTCAGTGTCTCTCTCCCTCACCCACTTTCTGGGCTGTTGACTTTGGCTGGTGTGTCTGTTTCCAGTTTCCAACCTGTCTGGGGAAGCGAATGGCTGGGCCCACCTGTTCACCAGCTGTGCCTCCTGCTTCTTACTGAGTCAGCATTCTCTTTGCTTCCGCCAGGTACTTGCATTAGACTATGGTTGCTCACGTTTCTGAGTTTGTCTGTGCCACCCCCCCGCCCCCGCCGTGACTGCCCTTCTGTCAATCTACCATTCCCCCGCACCCTGTCTTTCTGTACTGGCTGTTGTCTGTCCTTGTAAGATTTCTCCTGTGTGCCTGACTGGCCTCTTATTTGTGACTATTCCCTTTAGGTCTGGTCCTGCTGTAAGTAAACCCTGAGCCAGTTCCCTCTGTTGGCTTGTCTCTTTTTCTGGGCTTAGTTCTAGTTGCTTGATGTTTCTGTTTCCCCTCTCCACCCATCAAGACCCTCAGATTTGTGCGACCTTCCACGTGGGTTCAGATGAGGTGGGGCATCCTCCTCCGCAATTCTGCTGCTCTTCCTGCTTCTCCCACCCAGAGTCAGAAGGTGCAAAAGGGAATTTGGATGAAAACTTCTAACAGTACAGGTGTTAAGACACTTGCTTTGCACGTCATTGACTAGGCTTTGACCCCTGGTACTGTAGAAGCTCCTCTGAGCTCCGCCAAGAGTGATCCCTCAGCATAGAGCGGGGTGTAAGCCCTGAGCGCGGGTGTGGCCCAAACCGAAGGGAGAAAAAGGAATGAAAATGTCTTCTCAGAAAAAAATAAAAAACCGCGGGCCAGATGGGGCCCTGGAGGAGCTGATTAGGGGCTGAGCGCACAGCGCGCTGATTGGCTGCGGGCGGGGCAGGGGCAGGGTCGAGGCAAGCAGGCGGGAGCTGCAGGCCTCGGGGTCCCAGATCCCTGTGTTGAGCCTCGCGGTTTCAGAAGCCAGTGGAGAGCCGCGAGGTGAGGAGGGGCGCATGCTAGCTTGGACGGGGCACTCTGCAGAGAGCCAAGTAGGCATGAGTGAGGGTGGGGGTGTCCCCGGAGAGGGACCAGGGGTACCCAGGAGGCATTTTCAGTGGTAACAAGAACTTTGCACGGGAGGGGAGAATCCTTTGGGTACCTCACCGTAGAAAGTGTGATAGGCGGGGAGGAGGGGGCGCGGGGTGACCGTCTCCAGAGGGGGCTCATGGTTGAGGTGGAGAGTGGGCTCAGCCTCCTGACTGAGAGCCTAGAGATCAAGGCTTAGGGTGGAGGGTTTGCTGAGGCAATTTCCACAATGCTGAGGACCCTGAAGGGGGGTTTTGAGATCTCTCCTTTCCCACACATGAGCTCAGAGCTAGGACTTCCTCGGAAACTGTGTGAGTTCCATATTTGGGTTAGGGGCGGGGTGCAGACACCCTTAAAACACCTAAGGGACCTTGGAGGAAGGGGGTTCCCCGCTGAAGCTCCCAGTTATTAGCGGGATGGTGATGGGGGATTACTGGGGCTTGGGCCAGGTTTCTGAGACACCTGGAGCCCAGAAGGCATCTCACTGCCGATCCCAGGGCTTAGGGTTTGAGAGGGGTCCTAGAAATGACCACTTGTCCCTAGAAGGGGAATTCAGCAGTGGGGACTCCTGAAAGGGGGCTCAGTTGGGGAAATTGTTTTTGGCCTCTAGGGAGACTCTTCACAGTTGTGGCAGAGAGCAGCTGGCAGAGTGGGGGTGGGGAGACGGTAGCTGGGGTCCCCTCCAAGCCGCCAGCGCCTTCAGTTCCTGTAGCAAGTTGCATCAGCTTGGAGCTTGGGCTCTGGACCTGGCAAGGAGGGGGTAGGGGGCATTGGCGGGGTGGGGAGGCGGGCAGATAAAACGTGTCCCTGTAAGGAGTAAGCAGTCTGGCCACACAGTAAGGGTGGAAAGAAGGCTGGGGGAGGGGGTGGGGGGGTGGGAGACTGGAAAGGAAAGGGATTGATAGCCAGAGCTGGAGACAGTGAGTCTGGGGTCTGGGAGAAGAAGCTCCCCAACTGCAAATTCTCAGCTGCATTGGGTGCTTGCTCACTAGCTGGCTCTCCCATTTTGCGCGCTCTCTCTCTCTCTCTCTCTCTCTCTCTCTCTCTCTCTCTCTCTCTACCTCTCCCTCTCTCTCTCTGTGTCTTTTCTTATCCAGAACTGTGTAACCACTGTCTTTCCTCCCTTCTCTTCCTCCCTCTCTTTCCTGACCCTCCTCCCCTCTCTTTGTCTCCCGGTTCTTTATCTCATATCTCTTTCTCTTTCTCCCCCTCCCCCCTCCCACAACCTCCTTCATCTTTGCTCTCCCCACTTTGGAACCCCCTTCTCCATTTCTTTGTTTCTCTGCTCTCAGGATGGAACTCCAGGATCCAAAGATGAATGGAGCCCTTGCGGCAGGGGCTGTGGGGTAAGTCTGGGGCCCCAGAGGCGGTATCTAGGGCTCAGGAAGACCCTCTCATCTGCCCCCCCCATTTCCCTGCACTTTGCAGCTACAGGCAGGAACTCGAGGGTTTCCTGCCCAGCCAGGGAGCTGCTCCTGGGAGGAAACCAGCCCAGTTCATGGATGTGAGTGACCCCATAGGGTTGGGCTGCCTGCACCTTGCCTGCTGACACACTCTCCTCTTCTCTCCACTGCCTCCAATGTGACTTCCTGTCCTAGCTGCTACCCTCTCTAGCTGACCCCCACACCTTTTGCCTCTGGGAGCTGCCATGCTCCCCCATCCCTCTCTTGTCCTAACACTTTTATTTCCGTTCTCCACAGCTCTCTTTTCCCCAGCTTCTTTCATCCCTTTTGTCTCCTCCCTGCCTTTGTGACCCTTCCCTGAGTTTCTCCCAGGCCCAGTCACTCCTTCCCTTCCCTTTCTTGGGGCCACAGTTCCAGTCTCCTTACTGGGCCCCCCTTACCTCTTGTGTGCCTGGACCCTGCCTCTTCCCCGCAGTTCGAGGGGAAGACATCGTTTGGAATGTCCGTGTTCAATCTCAGCAATGCCATCATGGGCAGTGGCATCCTGGGGCTGGCTTATGCCATGGCTCACACAGGGATCCTCTTCTTCTTGTGAGTTCATGGGTGGCCTGGAGGGTGGGCAGGACATGCAAGGGCAGTTTATAGTTCAGGTGGGATACCTGGGAGTCGGGGGCTGAGTCTGAGTGGAGCCGTATGCCACAGGACTCTGCTGCTATGCATCGCACTCCTGTCTTCATACTCCATCCATCTCCTGCTCATCTGTGCCGGAGTCGTAGGTGAGACCCAAAGCCCAGATACCGATGCCCAGCACCCTTGTGGACTCCAGACATGAGACTTGGATCTAGAGCTCACCCCAATCTTTGGATATCCACCCCTTTCACTTCAGACCCAAGACCTTACTTTAAGACCCCAGACTCTGGACCTTTCACCCTGACCCCAGATCCTGGACCTCCAACTGCCCCACAGTCTCAAGAACAAGGACTCAGAGTTTGTTCAAATGGCTGAGAGAAGGCTTTGCATGCAGGACATCCACATTGGATCCCTGGCACTGTGTGGTCCCCTTGAGCCAGGAATAGCCCCAAACCAAAACAATAAAAATGAATACTTTGGCCTCTAGACCCCTTTTGCCCCCCTTGGGCAGGGTGATAACTCCTAATCCCCAATATTAGCTTTTCAATCTAGCTACACACTCCATTGCTCAGACCATCTACGCCCCTCTACCTCATCTCTCACTCCCACCCTTTAGAGTCCAGCTCCCACCTTCAACCACAGAGGCCTTTGTCACAGTGTCCTTGCCCCAGCCGTCAGGCTGGATTCCCATGGTGGCTTCATTCCATAGCCTGTTTCAAGACCCTTGCTCCTCTATGCAGTCACCAACCAGCTTCCTGTCCTAAGATTCATGTCCCAGACACCACCCAAGCCTAACTCTTAACCCTTACCTCCAGTCCCCATCAATCAGATCCATTTCCTTCCAACTGTAGCTCCTAGGCCCTTTGAGGTTCTGATTCCTCCCTTCTGGTCCTCAGGCAGGGCCTCCTGCATCTCTAACTTTTCCTTCCTGCCCACACCCTCTCCACAGGCATCCGAGCCTATGAGCAGCTGGGACAGAGGGCGCTGGGGCCTGCTGGAAAGCTAGTAGTGGCCATGGTCATCTGTCTCCACAATGTCGGTGGTGAGGTTTCTGGGAGTAGGGGGACTCAGCTTGGTGGAAGAGGGGTAAGGTGAATTTCCCCAGGCTGGACTGGAGAAGATGGGGTGGATCAGAGAAATCCCACTGATCTCTCCCTCTGCTTATACCAGCCATGTCCAGTTATCTGTTCATCATCAAGTCTGAACTCCCATTGGTTATTGGCACCTTCCTGGGCAAGGACCCTGAGGGGTAAGTGAGAAACAGACACTAATGAGTATGTGATGTCCTGCTCCTGTTTGCAACTCTGTGCCCAACATACTTCTGGTATTTGGTTTTTGAAACTGTGGGGCAGTTCTGTGCAACCAGATTGTAATTCCTATGCATTGTGATGCCCACAGTATAGGTGGCTGTTGCTTTGACTTTAGGAGTTTGGTGTACTCTGGATTTTTGTGGCTGTTTTTTTTTTTTTGACTCATTTGTTGATTGGCTGAAAGTCTGGTGACTTGGACACTGGCTATGGTTGTATATAATCTGGTAGCCTAGACTCTGCCTATAAAGTTCATTATCTTCCTGCAATATTGACCCATTCTCTGCTCATAATCTTCTCTGTGAGCTGATTACTATAGCTGTGTTCTCTGTAACATGATTTCAACTCTTGGGGGTGTGGACAGTGGGGTGGGGCCCCACCACCCATGTGTATTTGACACTTGCTTCCTCTGACTTGTCCTGTCTTTTGTCTGGACATGCCTGGCAGTGCTCAGGGATTACTCCTGGCTCTGCACTCAGGGATAAATCCTGGCATGTTTGGGGAACCATATGGGATGTTGGGGGTTAAAATTGTGAGCTGCATGCAAGGAAAGTGCCCTACCCACCACAATATCACTCCGACCCCTGACTTGCCCTGTCTAGTAGATTCTGTTTGAATCTGGGTCTATCGAGGTGGCTGAATCTATCTATCTATCTATATATATATATGTTACTGATCATTATGTATGTGAGGGTATATTGTACTGTGGTGCCAACTATGTATCTGTGACTTGTTTCAGCTATATATGTTAGTAGTCTCCAATTTTTGTGTGTATTTAATTTGGTGATGATTTTTTGGGCAAATTTTGTGTACATATTGGCTTACTTTGTATCCTACTAGAGCACTAGTTTGATTCTGAGACCATCTAAATAGCTAATTGTCAATGTGACTAGAGATACCTAATTATTATAGAGGTGCCTAATTATTATAATTAGATACCACTGTAAATATAGTCAGTGATGCTTCATTCATTTCTTTCTGTATAATTATGAGCATAAGATAGTACCAAAATGCTTAAAACAGCAGGAATGCAATAGAATTCTTTTCTTATTTATTTGTGGGGGAAGGCACATCTATCAGTGTTCAGGGCTTAGTCCTGCCACTGTGACTAGTGATCACTGCTCAGGGATCATTCCTGGTGGTGCTGAGAGGCCCTATGTAGTGCCCAGATTTGAACCTAGGTTGGATGTGTGTGAGGTTGACTGCTGTCCTATCTCTCCAGCCCTCAACAGAATTCTTTTGAATGAATGAGTAGTTGTCTGACTAATTATTGTCTTGGTTGAGCACTCCTACTTATCTACACAAACTCTGCTGTATCTCTTGAGCTTAGTTCCAACAGTATAGCCAACTAGCTCCTTTCTGTTCCAGTTCTGTTGTGTGACCAAATACGCCCCATGACTTTGATCTGTTTAGCACACCTGAGTTGTTTCTACAACCACACAAGTGCGATGCTGACTTTTTGGTCGCGCTGTGCCTCAGGTCTGTCCACGAGTTCATCAAAGGTTGTGCTACTACTGAAATTCTTGGTATTGGGGCATGATGCCTGCTTTGTGTCTGACATCTTGTATTAGACTGTGTGTGTCTGGCTGATTTCGGGGTGTTGAGCCTCTGGTTGGATGCTTACTTGCAGTCAGAGGGCACAGTTGTATGCAATCGGTGCCTGTAGTTTCAGTTGTCACTCTCCTGCAGTACCCCAATAACAGTCTCATCATCCAAAGGGCTCTTTCAGTCAGTCCTCTCATGTTATTTGTCACTGCTCACCTGAAGGATTTCTGAGAACTGACATGTCAGCTCATCTCTCTTGACTGTGAGCAGAGATCTGTGATGTGCCATCTCCTTTGAGCATCTGCCTGACAGTCATGATGTCTGCCTGTTTCCACAGGGACTGGTATCTGACAGGAAACCTCCTCCTCATCTTCGTCACCATATTCATCATCCTGCCTCTGGCTCTTATGCGACACCTGGGTGAGAGATATTGCTTGTTGGATTCCTGGCATCCCCTGATCCCTCCAATAGTAATTCATGAGCAGCACCAGAAGTAAGCCCTGACTGACCACCACTGAGTGAAGCCCCTCAAAACAAAACAGAACAGCAAAAATCATAATGAAAAATAAGACTGCAAATGTATGGCAGAATTGGGGTGAAAGTCCCCAGTTCTGCTAGTCTAGGCATTTGCGGCTTGTGCTGTGGGGTGTTTCTGGATTCTTAAGCCTCTGTGTATTATTCCTTACAGGCTACCTGGGGTATACCAGTGGTCTTTCTCTGACATGTATGGTGTTTTTCCTCATTTCGGTGAGTCTGAAAAAGACCGGTGAAAGAGTGGGGTGAGGCTTCATGATATTGGGGCGTAGCCTTCTCTGTGACCCCACTTCCGCACCCTTCCTGCTGCAGGTCATCTATAAGAAGTTCGAGCTTGGTTGTGCCATAAGTCACAATGAGACAGCAGAAATCCAGAGCGACGACTCCCTTGTTCTTCCTCCCGAGAGGTTCAACAGAAGTTGTGAGGCCCGGATGTTCACAGTGGACTCACAGGTAGGTGTTCAGGTATCTGGGACTTGTGTGACACTCAGGCCTGCTGCTCACTGCCTATTGCTGCCTGCCCAGTACTCAGAGTGGAGCATGTGTCTGGTATGGAAGGCAATGGTAGGGGCAAGAACAAGAGGGTGTAGGGTGGAACTGTGGAGCCCAGGGGAATGGGGAGGATGGCAGAACCCTATGGGCTCAAATCTCTCTAATGTCTACTCGGGTTTTCCTCCCAGATGTTCTATACAGTGCCTATTATGGCTTTTGCCTTTGTCTGCCACCCTGAGGTGCTGCCCATTTACACGGAGCTCTGCCGGTGAGTGGGTCTTGGTGAAACTCCAGTCAGTGGCCGAGGGCAGGGAGTGATAATTGGGTCTGACCATCCCCCCACAGTAGTCCTGAGTATGTAGCCTGACTGTGCCTAGGTTGTGCCAAGGGAGTGGTAGGAGATAGTTAGAGGGACCATATGAGGTGCTGGGGTTTAAATATGCACCAGACATGTGCAAGGCAAGCTCCCTACCTGCTGTACTATCACTTGGGTCCTGTTCATTCACATTTGTACTGAACATGTCCCATGCAATAAGCAGTCACTTCCCTGAGACCCTGCATGGGACATGTTCAGTTCAAGTGTGAATAGACATGGCTGGACATGTGAATAGAAATGTTGGGGCGCTTGACTTGCATGTGGCTGACACAGGTTTGATCCTTGGTCCCCCATATGGTTTCCTGACTACCACCAGGAGTGATCCCTAAGGGTGTCTCTAATGGATTGAGTGCAAAGCCAGAGTAAGCCCTAAGCACCACCAGGTATGATGCAAAACCAAACACAAATGTGAATACACAGAGTGAGGGAGATGGAGAAGCTCAAATGGAGGGATATACATCTATGGAGGGTGAAGGGAATATCCAGATGAAAGGGATGAATAAAGAAAATATGGCATTGTTATGATGGGGGAACAGGTGGATGATTAGTCAGAGAGGGATGAATGGAATGCGGGGTCAGGTGGAAAGAAGAGATAGTAAGTCATGCTGAGGAAAGCAGAGAGATGATCAGACAAATGAGATAGACAGACAAGGTTTTATGAAGTGACAGACGGACTGTACCTCATGGTGTTTCACTAATAAAAAAATAAAGGGGGAAAAAAAGAAGGTAGGCTTGGGGACCAGAGTGATAGTAACAGGTAGAACACTTGTGCTGCATGAGACCTATCTGGGTTCCATTCTTGGCATTCCATATGGTCCCATAAACACCACCAGGAGTGATTCATGAGCAGAGCCAGGAGTCACCCCTCAGTATCGCCAGATTTGGCCCAAAAACCAAAAAGAAAAAGATTGTAAGCTTGGCGAGTCATGCAGGGGAGGCAGAAATGGGCACCCCATTATGTCCCAACTTCATCTCTGAGTGGGAGACTCAAGAGTGTGGGAACTGGTTCTGTGGAGGCTGGATCCAGATTAGGGGCGTGACTTGCTAGTTTTCTGTTCTCTATACCTCAGGCCCTCCAAACACCGAATGCAGGCTGTGGCCAATGTGTCCATTGGGGCCATGTTCATCATGTATGGGCTCACAGCGACCTTTGGATATCTCACCTTCTACAGTGAGTGGGGCCGAGACTGGGGTGGGAGTGGGCAGTGGGTTTAGATGCCTAAAATCAGCCCTTTCCCTCTATGTTCTTGGACCCGTCAGTTTACAAAGGGAAACTGGAGATTTCATCACTCTGTGTATGTGTGTGTTTCTCGGAGTCTGGTACTAGTGTTCCCTCCGTATGCTTCCTATGCTTCATTTCATGGCCAGGCAGCGTGGAAGCAGAGATGCTGCACATGTACAGCCAGCAGGACCTGCTCATCCTCTGTGTACGCCTGGCGGTGCTGCTCGCAGTGACTCTCACGGTGCCAGTCGTGCTGTTTCCTGTGCGTGGGGATCAAGGGCCCATGGAAATGGAGGAATAAAGATGGATGAGTTGAAGGCATAGGCATAACAATTTATATGGAGGGTTGACATAAAGGTAGATGAATAGGACCAGAGAGAGAGAGAGAGAGAGAGAAAGAGTACAGTGGGGGAAGTTCTTGCCTTGCATGTGGCTGACCCGGGTTCCATCCCAATACCACACAGGATCCCTGAACCCCCACTTGCACACTCTGAGTACAGCCAGATGGGGCCCCCAAACCAAAACACAAAAGTAGATGGATGAAGGGAGATGGCAGGGATGGAGAGACAGAAAAGGCAGAGTTGCCTTATAAACAGAGATGGAAGAAATCAACAATCAAATAGAAGACCTAAAGTCAGGTACACTGTTGTCATGTGGAGGAAGAAGGTTCAGAGTGGTGAGCTAGACAGAAGAGGGAGCAGCATTGTTAGGGGGCAGTCAGAGTGAATAAAGGGTGGAGGCACATGTGGGTTGTTTGGGTGCTCTGAGGAGCAACAAGATGAAAGGCCAAGCCTCTGAGACACACCAATGGGGTGCACTACATGGTGACAATCAGGGCTCTTAGAGTGACAGAAGAAGTGAGTGTCAGATGGTTGGGGCGAGGCAATCTAATAAAGGAAGAGGCTGAGATTTTTAGACCTTGGGCAGAGGCATAGGTGGGCAATGAATCAGGAAGAGGCAGGGTTTGTGGGTCAGCAGGGAGGCAGATACGTATTCGAACAGTGGAGGTTGCTCAGGCAAAAGGGAGTGACAGAGGAAGGAAAATTAAACACCTGGTGGGAGCAGCCCAGATGGTTGGTCATGTGGAGGATAGAGTTCAAGGTAGATCTAATCCCACAGAGGTGGGGGAGATCCTGGGCCCCAAACCATGTCGCACCCTCCCTCCTCTGGTCACAGATTCGTCGTGCTCTGCAGCAGCTGCTCTTCCCAAGCAAGGCATTCAGCTGGCCCCGCCACGTGGCCATCGCTCTTATCATCCTTGTCTTGGTCAATGTCCTTGTCATCTGCGTGCCGACCATCCAGGATATCTTTGGGGTGATTGGTCAGTTCCCCCCAAGGCCAGACCCCATCTACCAGGAGCTTTGGGCCCAAACTGACAATGACTCTGGTCCTTCATGTTTGTCCACCAGGGTCCACCTCTGCCCCTAGCCTCATCTTCATCCTTCCCAGTATCTTCTACCTCCGCATTGTGCCCTCTGAGATAGAGCCCCTCTACTCCTGGCCTAAGATTCAGGTGAGCACTGCAGGAGAAAAAGGGAGCACTTGGAGGACGGAGCACTCTGGGTGGTTGCAGGTAGAAGGTGGGTAGAAGGCAGTGGCTGGGAGAAGAGGAGCCTCCAGGTGAGGCACAGGTAGCCTGAAGGGATGAGGGAGATTGCCTTGGGAACAGATTGAGCTAGTTAAAGAGAAGCAGAGGTGAGAAGATGAAGGGAGCACTCAGGAAGAGACTGGTTAGTGGGAACAGGTACCAGATGTAAGGAGCATTGGGAGTAGAGGGTCAGGAGCAAGTTTCAAGGAGTAGTCCCGGGGAAAGGCTGGATTGAAGGAAGGAAAAGGGAGCATGAGATCAGGCTGGGAAGGCATGGAGTCTCTGGGGGGGCCCAATTTGTCCCATCTTGTCTTCCATTATTTCCACAGGCTATGTGTTTTGGTGGCCTGGGGGTGCTCTTCATGGCCATCAGTCTAGGCTTCATGTTCACCAACTGGGCCACAGGAAAGAGTCATGTGTCTGGACACTGACCATGCCCTGCTCCACCTGGGCCCCTCATGTGCACACCTCTTGAGCACATAGAGAAAAATGAGGGTGCCCTTCTGGTTCCCACCTGCCTGGTGTAAGGGCAGTGAACGTTCAGAGAAGCCCACTTCCCTTCTCCTAGGATGACTTCAACAGCAACCCAACCATATGGGGGAGGCTGGGCTGAGGGGGAAGGGAAGGAGGACCTGGCCTGGTCCTGGAGGGAGCTCGTCCTGTCCAGCCTGCTCCTACCAGCCTCCTCCCAGTGGAAGTTGTCAAGATTATCCTCAAGCTATTGGGGAATAATAAAGATGTTGAATTATAACTCAGACCTCAGCCTTCTGATTGCTTTCTTTTTTCTTTTTTTTTTCCTTTTTGGGTCACACCCAGCAATGCTCAGGGGTTACTCCTGGCTCTGCACCCTGGAATTAGTCCTGGCATTTCTTGGGGGACCACATGGGATGCCAGGGACCGAACCCGGGTTGGCTGCATGCAAGGAAAATGCCCTCCCTATTGTAACATCTCTCCTGCCCCAATCTCTTTCTAAAACTGGGTGGGGGAGATGTTTCCACACCTGGTTGCGCTGTACCCTAATAACACAAAAACATTAATCCAAAAACATGCATACACATCTGTTCATTGCAGCACTAGTTACAATAGCCAAGTTTGGGGGACCTACCCACAGTATTTAGCGGGTACTCCTGGCGAGCCTTGCTGGAGGATTTCCCCTGGTGGTGCTGGGAATCGAACCTGGGTCTCCTGAATGCAAAGCATGTGCCCCAGCCCTTTGAACTAACTTTGCATGAAAAAAAGCCAATAGTTAGAAACAACCCAAGTTCTTAATAACAGAGGAATGGATAAAGAAATTGTAGTGACTATACACAATGGACTACTATATAGCTATGAGAAAGAATGAAATTTTGCAGTTTGCGGCAAGTTAGATAAAATTCAAAAGTGTCATGCTGAGTGAAGTGAGTTATAAAGTAAAATATAAAGGCCAGATGATCTATGTGGAGCATAAAGAAACTAAGAAAGTCATTAGACAGTTCCCAATGGAAACAAACATGAGTTTGAAACATGAATAATAGAATTGGGAATTGTGGGGATGAGGGGATGGGGAAGGGACCAGGGGAAAATGGTGAAGGGATCTTGAAAACACTGTTGGAGGGATTGGTGTCGCAACTGCAAATATAAAATAATGACTTCAATGCTATTGTTTGTATTTTGGGCCAGACCTAGCAGTGATTAGGGCTTGCTCTTGGTTCCATACTCAGGGATCACTACTGACCTGGCTTGAAAGACCATATGTGATGTCAATGAACCCAGTTCTGGTGCATGGAAGGCAAACCCCTTGCGCACTGTACTATCTCTGGTTCTGCAATAGGATGTTCCTGATTTAAAAAATTAAAATAAAAATAATTAAGTTAAAAAAAGGTATTTTGGGTGGGAGCCACATTTCTCTGTGTTTAGAGCTTACTCCTGACAGACTTCCTACCTGCTGTACTTTTGCCTGGCCCTAAAAAGACTTTTTTCCACCCCCCAAAAAAGGACTTCTTGGGGAAACCTGCTTAGGTTCAGATGGGATTGAATCAACACCCTGGAAGTAGGACTAAGCCATCTCTCTCCTGTTAACTCATTTCTCCACTCCTTCCTTCACTCACTACTCAGTTCATTGTTTCATTACTTGCTCACTTAAGCCAACGACTGAGATCCTACTTTGCTGTGGGCCTTGCTTGAAGTGCTGGGGCCACAGAAGTGAATCAAGCAGCGAATAACTCTTGAAGCTGCTGTTCTAGTGCAGGAGTAGACAGAAGATGGCCTGCAGGGCAAACCGAACCTGCTCCCTAGGTTGGCACACTTCCCAACAAAACATACTTTGCACAGGCTTGCCAAGAAAGTTGTATTGGAACACAGTTATGCTTGTTCAGTGGCATACTGTTTATGGCTCTCAGGCTACAACAGCAGAGCTGAGGGGATGCAACAGAGACACTCTGACCCATAAAGCCTAACTATACTCTCTCTCTTTGTGTGTGTGTGTATGTGTGTGTGTGTGCATGTGGTGCCAGGGATCAAACTGAAGGGCCTCACACATGCCAATCTTGTGCTCTGGTGCTAAGCCACACTGCTCATTGCTGGCCTTCAAGTTCCTTTCTATCTGCCTTTTTTTGTTTTAGGGCCAAACTTATTGGTACTCAGTGGTTACTCCTGGCTTTGTGCTCCAGGATCAAGCTTTTCATGGATCAGGGACCCAATGAAGTGTCAGGGATCAAACCAAGGTTGTCACATGCAAGGCAAATGTTCTGCCCATTGTGCTGTGGCTCTGGCCCTCATAAACTCATTTTTTAAAAGTTTCCTTTTTGTTTGGGGGCTACACTGGGTGATGCTCAAAGCTTAATCCTGACTCTGTGCTCAGAGATCACTCCTGGAAGTGCTCAGTGGATCTTAGATGGTGCCAGAGATTGAATCTGGGTCAGTTGTGTGCAAGGCAAGTGACACCCACTTTACTATATCTCTGGCATTAGCTCATTTTTTAATAACAATGTAACAGTACAAGGCCTGACTTAAACAAAAACAACACAAAAAGAGGTTATCCTCTACACTGAGTCTGTAAGATAACTTTGGAGGTAGTTTAAACTATCTTTTGTCACCCATAGGTATTCTTGTTGTCATGTTTAAGAGCTGCTTATATGGCAAATAATTTAGTTTTGTGGTTAACATTTAAGTTAATTTGAATTAGGTTTTGTATTGCGCATGAGGTTTATGTCAATATTCATTTGGGTGTATGTGTGGGGAAATAATTCCTAACTGATCCATATCTTTTTTTCCCTCTTGGTCTATAAAGTGGTACTCAGGAGACCCTGGAGTCACTCCTGGACGTTCTCAGTCAGCTGGGCTGCAGTTCAATACAAAGGTCTGAGGATGTAGTGCAGGTCCAGCCCTGCAATGCTGGGAGTAGTGATCGAGAGACTATATGTGGTTGCAAAGATCTAACCGGGGTTGTCCACGTCCAAGGAAAGTGACTTAACCCCTAAATTGTCTCTCTCACACATAGCACCATTTTTTCCTCTTTTAAAACTTTTTTTGTGTTTTATTTTTGTTTTGGGAGCCACACCCACAATGCTCTATCTCTGCTCTCAGAGATCACTCTTGACCGTGTTTGGAGAACTCTACAAGGTGCCGAGGAATTGAACAGAGGTTGAACCTGTGCAAGACAAGTGCCTTAACTCCTGTACTATCTATCTGAGCCCCAGCATTATTTCTTCATTTTTATTGACTTATTATTTTTATTGAATCACCATGAGATACACAGTCACAAAGTTGTTCATATTGGGTTCCAATCATACAATGTTTCAACATTTGTCCCTCCACTGGTGTACATCTTCCACCACCAATGTCCGCAGTTTCCCTCCTGCCACACCACCCCAGGCTCTCTCTCTCTCTCTCTCTCTCTCTCTCTCTCTCTCTCTCTCTCTCTCTCCCCTTTTGGGAATTAAGATTTGCAATACAGTTACTGAAAGGTTATAATCTGTCTTTGGGCATTAGTCTCATGCTATGTTTTTTTTATATCCCTCAAATGAGTACAATCATTCTATGTCCCTCTCCCTCTGACTCATCTCTCTCTGACTCATTTCACTCAGCATGATATTCTCCATTATAATATGATATTCTCCAATTATAAACAGATTTCATGACTTCATTTGTCCTGGTGGCTGAGTAGTATTTCATTGTGTAGATGTGTCATAGTTTCTTTATCCAGTCATCTTCTGTTCTTTGGCACTTGGGCTGTTTCCAGATTTTGGCTATTATGAATAATGCTGCAATGAACATAGGAGCCAGCACCATTTCTTAAGACAATCCTTCCTCCACTAAATTAGCCTTACACCTCAGGAAAAAAAGAATAAATGTGAGAGGTCAGTGTCAGGTTGAAGTACTTTTATTTTGTTTTTGAGCAATAGCAGGAGTACTCCTGGCTCTGTGCTCAGAGATCACTCCTGACAGTATTCAGGGTGGTGCTCAGGGGACTATATGTGGTGCCAGGGATCAACTGGAATTGGTTGCATGCAGTTTCTTTGCTTTTTTCTATAAATTCTGGCACAATCTTATCTAGAACAACTATATTGTCAGGATTTTGATAAGAATTACATTTAAATCTGTACATTAAAATGTAGAAAACAGACATCTAGTAAAAATGTCATAGGAACTGTTGAACATATGTGTTGAAATATATGAAGACAAGCTCTTTCTTTTTTGTTTTGCCTTTGAAAATTATAACCTTCACACCCTGTGGTGCTTAGGGGCTAGTAGCAGCTCTGTGCTCAAGTATCATTCCTGGTGATGCTCAGGGAACTATTTGGAATGAAATCTAGCCCTTCAGTTAGTTGACCTATCTCTCTGACTCTCTTTCTTTTGGGGGGTTTGGGCTTACACCTGACAGTTTTCAGGGGCTACCGAGTGAGATCTGTGCTCAGGGGTCACTACTGGCAGTCTTGGGGAACCATATGGTCCAGGGAATTGTACCTGTTTTCCCATATGTATTTCAGCTGTTGACCTCTCTGCCTGAGCCCAGTCCTCTTTTTCTACTTATTTAGGTATTCTATTTGGTCTCTCTTTCATCAGCTTTTTAGTACCGTTTGCCCTGGTTCCATCCAGTCCCTCGTCAGGACCCTGCTTTTGGGGGTACTAGGAAGTAAGAGCAGCCAAGGCTTAGTTTGAGAGAATAGATGCCCAGGAGGAAAATAACACTGAGAGTCACATTACAAAAGCATAGCATATACTGTCTTCTTGTGTTCATACAAAAAGGACATTGCTCTGAATAAACTATGCAAAGGACATAGGGAGAAGAGAAAAACAATATTTACAAGTCAACAGAGCACAAAGAAAGAAGTTACAAATAAACACACGGGAATGGGAGCACTGTGATGGGAGCAACCAATAAACCTAAACTACCTGAGGCCATGTAGGAAAGATAAAACAATGCTATCCTACAAAGAACCATCTGGAACCATCTGGGCTGACCTCTTGCAAGGCAAACGCCTTACCCTGTGTACTATCTTATTTTCATTACAAATGGGTTGTGTTTTAAATATCAGTTTCTGGGTCGGAGCGATAGTACAGCTAGTAGGGCATTTGCCTTGCATGTGGCAAGACCCGGGTTCAATCCCCGGCATAGCATATGGACCCCCAAGCACCACCAGGAGTAATTCCTGAGTGCAGAGCCAGGAGTAACCCCTGAGCATCGCTGGGTGTGACCAAAAGGCAAAAAAAAGAAAGAAAAACAAGAAAAAA